CTTCTGGGGAAGGCTAATTTTATTGACTCATTGGTGCTTTGTGGGCACCTGCTCACTGGAGAAGAGAAAAAAAAACCAATTTTTATTTCTTGCAAAAATGTAGAATGGAAAATGAAGGTTAGGAGGGCTCATGCAGGCCTGGCTCCTTGACCAGCACTCAGCACAGCTCCTTGAGCCCACCTGCTGTCCTTGGTACAGCTCTAGGACGGGCGTCTAGTGAGGGCCAGGTGCAGGGCAGTTCTCCAGGTGGCCTTGGATGATCCAGTTCGCCCCCACTTCTTTCTCATTTGCAGTTCTCAAGAATAACTGTAGCATGGGCTGGGAATGCAATATCCTGAGATAGGGAAGGACTGGCCAGAACAGCCCAGGTTCAGTTCCCATCCTCCCCAGAAACATGGTATCCTTCAACACTTCAGTCCAACAAGTCACGTTCCCCTTGGGTATAAAACCCAGTGCTACGGATTGGATATGGTTTGTTTGGCCCCGCCTTGTTGCATGTCGAGATTCGATTCCCAGTGCTGGAGGTAGGGCCTGCTGGGATCCTGTTTGGACCATGGGGGCGGATCCGTCATGAATGTCTTGGTGCCATTTTTGTGGAAATAAGTGAGTTCTCACTCAGTTTCTGAGAGCACTGAAGTTAGAAAAGAGCCTGGTGTAGCCTGGCCAACATGGTAAAATGCCATAAAAAATTAGCCAGGCATGGTGGTATGTGCCTGTAGTCCCAGCTACCCAAGAGGCTGAGGCTTGAGGATTGTTTAAGCCTAGGAGATTGAGTCTGCAGTGAACTGTGATCATGCCACTGCACTCCAACCTGGGCAACAGAGCGAGACTGTATCGAAAAAAAGAAAAAAAGAGCCTGGTGCCTCCCTCCCCTCTCACTTGCTTCTGCTCTCCCACCATGAGATCTCTGCACATGATGGCTTCCCTTGTCTTCCACCATGAGTGGAAGCAGCCTGATGCCCCAACCAGAAGTGGATGCCGACACCATACTTCTTGTACAGCCTGCAGAATTATCAGTCAAATAAACTTCTTTTCTTTATAAATTACCCAGCCTCAGGTATTCCCATATAGCAACACGAACAGACTAAGACACCCAGGGAAGGCTGCCTTCTGGGGTTCCTCAGCTGCTCTGCAAATGGAGCACACACAGATGAGACCCCGTGTATCCCAGGCAGCTTTCCTGAGCCTTGGGGACCCAGCTTGCAAGGAATCCTAGGCTTCTGTTATCCTTTGCTGCCCATCTGTCAGTAATAAGCCCACTTCATGTAACTCGTGTGTGGGTCTCACTGGACTCAGGCAAGTTGGTCACCAGTGCACAGTGAACCTGCTTTGCACCACAGATGTAAGATTTGGTTTCAGATGTGCCTGGCCCTAAAGCCTGTGTGGGTCCTTTCTTTTGTGCAGTTGGAAATCCAGGAACATGAGCCACCTGACAGCCAAAGTCATAGTTGCAGTAACTTACATGGAGGATGATATGGTTTGGCTCTGTGTCCCCACCCAAATCTCACCTTGAATTGTAATAATCCCCATGAGTCATGGGAAGGACCTGGTGGGAGGTAATTGAATCATGGGGGTGGGTTTTTCTCATGCTGTTCTCATGATAGTGAGTAAGTCTCATGAGATCTGACAGCGTCATAATGGGCAGTTCCCCTGCACATGCACTCTTGCCTGCTGCCATGTAAGACATGCCTTTCTCCTCTTTCACCTTCCACCATGATCGTGAGGCTTCCCCAGTCATGTGGAACTGTGAGTCCATTAAACCTTTTATTTAAAAAAAACAAATTGCATGGTCTTGGGTATGTCTTTATTAGCAGCATAAGAACAGACTAATACAGTGGGTACAGACAGTTACAAATACCCACTGTGTGTCTAGACTGGGCAAAAAAATCTTTAGGACACTCATTTTTCCCATTCTACTCATTAATAGGTGGCCCTAAAGCAGGCTTTGTCTGTAGGCTGCAAAAAGGTGTTGCTCATATTTTTCTCAGCCCCACACATGAATTAAGGGGCCAATGCCACTCCCCTGCCCTGCTGGCCACACCAACTTAACCTCTTTGGGGATCATGGGGGCAAGTGCGTTTAGCAACCTGCTGCTTAACATGTAGCCACCCTGCCAGTAACCTCAGCATCACTGGGACCTTGTGAGAAATATGGGACCTCAGGCCCCATCCCAGACCTGTTGAATCAAAATTTGCTTTCTAAAAAGACCCACAGGGAATTTGTGCATACAGTAAAGTTTGAGATTCATTAATTTAGCAAAATGGATAAGACTGGAAAGCAGCTCACCTGCTTTCTAGCTCAGTGAGCTGGAGCACGTCTCTGAAATTCTCTGATCCTCAGCTATGAGAAGGATTGAATCATTAGAAGTTGCCTTTTTTTTATATCTACAAAATATAGGTACAACCCAAATATAAGCAATTTCATATGGTTCAACCAAATACTTATTTTGTTGGATTGTTGTGATAATTCATTTTAAAATGAGATAAGAGATAGAAAGCATTTGGTACATAGTGGGTGTTTGCTCAATGGTAATTACTGCCTGTGTGCAGGTAGAATAGCCTTGATCACCTTATCCCCATGGGTTCCTATGAAAACCAAGCAAAAAACTCCAGGTATATGCAACTTTTCATTTAACTGGAGTCTATAATAGAAGCTCCCTGCTGTGTAGGCCATTCTGTTCCCTCTGAGTCACGCAGCATGTCTGAGGGGGCGTTATCCCAGTGGATTTACAATCTTCCCCAGAAAAAGCATGCTTCCCGTTTCCATGTGGAAAGTCATCACTAGGAAGGGCCGACTGAACTCAGTGCCTGGAGTGGGTGAGAGGTCAAGGTCTGGGTGAGGCCTGGGGGTGAGCTGAATGCTGGTGGCTGCAGCAGCTTCAGAGCCCTTCTCATCCAGAGTCATCATGGCCTTATGAGTGACCTGCAAGGAAAATTCTAGAATCATCAAGCCACCCCATAGGAAGGACAAACCAGGCCTTTATGTTGGGACCAATTTTTTTTCTGTTCTGTTACTTAACCCCATATATATCCATCTACTCACTTACCCAGTCAGTGATTCTTCTATCTACCCTTTAAAAAATTCACTATCCATCTACTACTCTTACATACTTCTGCCTGACTGTTGTCCATCCATCATTGATCCATTCAACCAGCCAGCCAGCCAACCATACTCCACACCTCTCAACCATCTACTTACCTCTGCATGCACCACTTATGTATTCATATACCTGTCCATGCACCACTCACTTACCCACCCATCCACACATCATCCGTGCACCCTGCTACCCATGCATCTTTCTATCTGTGATTCCAGCTATTCACTATTCACCTATTCATTCATCCAATCACCAGTCTCCCCATCTATATCCATTTTTATGATTGGCATCTGCACTTTACTGGTTGCAGTGTATTTTGAATATCACACCAGCATCTATCTGTCCATTCACCCATTTCTCCATCCATTCATTCATGCATTCATCCAACCACTCTTTCACCCAATCATTATTGACTTAATCTTTCATTCACTTCATTTTGCTAATTTATCCTCACTCATTCAATCACTCGTTTATTCATGAGTTTATTCCGTGTGCCTTTATTGAGTACCGATGCTGTGTACTCCACTGTGCCGGGGATGGTAAGGATAGAAACATGGATTTGACTGACTTTGAAAAAGCTCATCATTTGATCGGGAAGATAAGACAGGTAAAGAAAGCAAGAGTGGAAAGTTACCAGGAGAGATTTCTTTCTGCTTTGAGTGTGGGGGTGAAGGATAACAACAGAGAAACCTTCATGGAGGAGGTAACATTTGTGCAAGGCCTTGAAGAATTGATATAACTTGAATATTCAGAGATGGGGGAGAACATTTTGGGTGGTTTGAAATTAAAAAGTCTGGGCTGGGCGTGGTAGCTCACGCCTGTAATACCAATCAACATATCTGGGACCGACCCGACGCCGCGTGAATCATGAGGTCAGGATTGAGACCATCCTGGCTAACATGGTGAACCCGTCTCTACTAATCCAAAAAAAAAAAAAAAAAAATTAGCGGCGCGTGGGCGGCACTGTAGTCCCAGCTACTCGGGAGGCTGAGGCAGGAGATGGCATGAACCCGGGGCGGAGCTTGCAGTGAGCCGAGATCGCGCCACTGCACTCCAGCCTGGGCGAACAGAGCGAGACTCTGTTCGGGGGAAAAAAAAAAAGTCTGAGCCAAAGTCAGAAGGTGAAAACTGTGGGGGCATGTAGGATACCGTGAAGTTCAGTTGAGCAGGTTGCTGTGAATAGTAGGAAACATAGTCTGGACAGGAGGGTGATGACTAGATCATGGAAGACTGGGAAATCTTCAGTTCCCTGAGGACCAAGCTGTTCCCCATGTTCCCTGTCAGTTCCCCCACCTTTTTTTTTTTTTTTTTTTTATATAACTTGTACTTTAGGTCTAAAAGCAGGAATGATCTCCCCAGAAAGCGTCCAACCTGGGGACACAGTTTGCATATCTGCCTTCCCTTTCCTTATTTCCTTTGAGATCCCCAATGTCTTGACAAAGCAGGTGGCAGTCGCAGAATCAACGCAAGGAAGCAAATAGCAACTTGCAAAGTTAAAAGAAATAGCGTCTCCTGTCTTTAAGGAGGTCCTGGACATCTCCCTCCAGTGTTCATCAAAAGACACTGAGAGGCCCTCTGAACACACCGGCCCCAACCTACTTTAGAGATGTTCAGTCCAGGCTGCCCAGGGAAGCCTCCATCCACAGTCACTTGTGGGAGGAGCATCTCCAGTCTGTAGGTTCTAGAAATGGAAAATTTGGGGAAGTGGAAATCGAGTTCTCTGTGGAGAGACAGAAATTGGGTTGCAGTAAAGATCCTGAAACAGCCTCTCACCTTCTTCCCTGCTTGGGGTCCCTCTGCCCCACACACCCGCTCCATCCCATTCTCGGAGGGGCAGTGGGTGTGAGCTTTCTAAAAGTCATACCATCACCAATTCACCTCAGTGTGGGAAGGGGGTTGTAACTACACTGACATGGAAGCCCTACAAGGACAGTGTCATTCTCATGTGATAATAGCAGGTGATACAATGATGTTCCCAGGAACCCAGAGCGGGCACACCTTGCCTGTTCTGGGGATCTGTCAAGCCTTCACAGAGCAAGTGATAGCTCTGCTATGCCATGAATAAAGGATAAGAATCCCAGAGAGGGCTGGGTCAAGAAAGGGCACGTCAGGACGAGGAATTTGCACACACAAAAGCCCAGGGCTGAGGAACAGCCTGGCAAGTTCAGGAAACTGCAGGGAGCTCAGTAGGTTCCAGGAATAAGCATGGGGGAGTTGGGAACACGGAAAAAAAGCCGAGGAGGGAGAAGGCTGAGACTGGGAGAGGCCAGAGCACCAGGCTCTTCAACAGCGTAAGGGGCCAAGGGAGCCCATGACAAGTCACTGTGTCTGCAGCAGAGGTGGGACTTGGGACCAGCCTCCAGACTTCTGGGCCAGTGCTCTCTCCAGTCCTTCCTCCCCAGAACCCAAACTGATATCTTCAAGGAGGCAATAACAGTGCCCTGGAGAGTGACAGAGCCCTGAGGGGGAACAATACCATGGAGGTGACAGCATCCCAGGGGGTAACTGTGTCCCTGCGGTGACAGTGCCATGACAATGTGTTTTGGGGGTGATGATGCCATGGGTGGAAGGTGATAGTGTCCTGAGGGCAATAGGGTCTTGGAGGGGTGACAATACCTGTGGGGTGGCAGTGTCCTAGAAATAACAGTGACTGGGGAATGACAGTGTTCCGGGGTGTGACAGTATTCTGGGAAGGTGACAATATCCTGAGGGATGACAGTGTCCTGGAGGTGAGATGTCCTGGGTGATGTGACAGTATCGTGGTGGATAATAGTGCTCTGAGCAGGGACAGTGTCCTGGGGTGACCATGCCCTGGAGGTGACAGTGTCCTGGGTTGATAACGCCCTTGAGGTGACTGTGCCCTGGGGACACTTTACAGTGGCTGAGGGAGAAGGTGGGGCCCGGCCTTCCCAGGGCTCTGCTGTGTGCGGGCTACCTGGTCCTGAGCAGACTGTCCCACTTAATCAGTGTTTCGGGCAGCAAGGCATCTTCCAGCTGCCTCATCTTGCCCCTGTTGGGGAAGATGAAGAAGGTGGTGGTGTTCCCAGCATGGTCCATCTGCAGCACAGAGCATTGCAACTCAGGGTCATGCAGGAAGCGGTGGCTGGCCTTCTCCTTCATCATGGGCACCCACACAGCCCTGTGCTCATCTACAAAGAACTCCTTTGGGCTGGTGGCACGTGAGTCAAAGGGTTTCATCCACTCAGCTGAGGGGAAGAGCAACACAAATGTCATCCTCACAGAGAACCGAGAACGGGCTTGGGGTCACCCTTCTGGCAGCTTGTGGGAGTGGGGAAAGCACCTTGGATGCTGGAATCTTGGAGTCCACACTCAGGAAGCCAAGCCCCACTCAATAACTCACTACCGAGAGGTCCCTTGGTATCTGTGTGGTCCTGGGGCTGAGCCCGGAGCCTCCCTGAGCTTCTGTCCTCATTTGAAAATGATCAATACTATTAGAAACTATTACAATAGTATAATAAGATTATAATCACATAAACACAAATGCTCTCTCATCTCCTTAATCTCTCCTGGAGGTGGTTAATTTTTAAGAAAAAATGTAGCCAGGTGCGGTGGCTCAAGCCTGTAATCCCAGCACTTTGGGAGGCCGAGACGGGTGGATCACGAGGTCAGGAGACCGAGACCATCCTGGCTAACGCGGTGAAACCCCATCTCTACTAAAAAAAAATACAAAAACTAGCCGGGTGAGGTGGCGGGCGCCTGTAGTCCCAGCTACTGGGGAGGCTGAGGCAGGAGAATGGCGTAAACCCGGGAGGCGGAGCTTGCAGTGAGCTGAGATCCGGCCACTGCACTCCAGCCTGGGCGACAGAGCGAGACTCCTTCTCAAAAAAAAAAAAAAAAAAAGAAAAAGAAAAAGAAAAAATGTTATCACTGTGGCACAAGCTTCTTGAACGTAGGTGTGGATTTGAAGGCTGGGTTCTGCCTGGCTTTGAAATCTAGGGCAAGTTATCCCACTTTGCGTCCGTTTCTCATCTATCAAGTGGACACAATAATATCTATCTTGTTGGGTTGTGATGAGAATTAAAATTAAATATGCGCAGAGCCGGCATGTTAATAAGAACTTTGTAGTCAATATATGTGTGTGTATGTGTAACCATGCCTACAAATAAACACCATCAACAGTCATAGATGCATATTTGAGTGATGCCTCACTGGCTCAGGCAAATAAGCTTTTTTCTTTTTAAAAAATCTATTTTTTCATCTGTAAAATGGGAACATTGATCTTAGGCATATCTGCTAAGATAAGACTGGTCTGTTTCACCCAGGTGAGAGTCAAGAGAGACTGTGGGGTACACACACTTTGAGATCTACAGAGCACTGTATGAATGTGAGGACTGAGTTCACCTCCCGTGTCCTGAATGAGAACAAGGGGATAACAACAAGCGTCCCCTGCCCGCCCCTAAATGGCCACCATGGCATCATCTGGTCTATTAAACTAAGTCAGGCATTAACAGCGGTGGATTGAATGTCATGACTGTATTGTTTAAGCACACACAATGGTGGGGACATGCAGCCTGTTCACTGTCTTGGAAAAAATTAAGGACTTAAAAAAAAATGTAGGACTCTTCCTGCTCTAATCCATGCCTCCTAAGGCCTGCCAGAGGAAGGAAATTCAGGTTCCTTAATACAGTGGTGGCTTCTAGAGTTACTCAAAGGGGAGCTCATAGTCTTCCGTTAGCAGAATCACCTGTGTGAGGAAGGGAGGTGAGCTGCTTCAAACGCAAGGTCATGGGTCTTGGACTTACCCCACTGAAATCAGAATCACTTAGGATAGGTACGAGATACCTGCGTTAAACTCTCTAGAAAGTTCATATGCACATTAAGTTTGCAAAACTCTTCTTTAAAAACAAACTCTTCCAGTATCATTAACATGGAGAAGGGGATGAGTTCCGTGTTACTGGAGGCATTCAAGTAGAGACATCAAGAACTCAGGGGCAGACACTCACTGAGTGTCATCTATATCTAAGTCAGGAGGGGACACTTTCCAGCTGCTGTGAGGGGTGGGGCTCGGGTGTGGTTGGAGCCTGGGTTCTGGGATTCTGGGAAGGAGGTTTGCATTGGGCACACACGCTCTTACCTCTGAGGAGCATGTGATTCACCAGAACTGCTGTGGTTTCACTGCTGAGGTCCTTCTCCCAGACCCCAAGCTTCCCCTGGGTCTGCTTCTCTATGTATTCGTCAATGTGTTTTTGGGCCTCCTCTAGGCTCTGGTTGGCCCTTGTGCCCAGGCCACTGAACCTGTGCTGGGCCATGGTCAAGAGGAGCCGGGGACCCTGCCCAGGGAGCCTGAGCATCAGATCCCAGAAGCCCTCCTGGATCTCCGCCTCAGGCACCACAGTGAGGTTGAACCCCAGGCCCTCCAGGAGTTTGGTCCTGCTGGCCCCTGGGGCCCCCCGAGAAAGCATGGCCAAGGCCAGGGAGATGCTCACCGGGGAGAAGAGAATGTTCTCTCCAGGGGCGTTCACAGCCAACTGTCTGTAGAGTTTGAAGGCAAAGTCTATGTTGCTCACAGAGATTTTGTGGCAGGGCAGGGCAGGCCCAGGGCTGCTGTCCTGGGGGCCAGAATGGATGAGATCCGAAGCTTCTTGGTCAACCAGAGCCACACAATGAGCCCCAGCCATGAGCACAGTGACCAGCGGCCACCACCAAGGGGCTTCCATCCTCTGGGGTCCTTGGTCTGAAAGCAGCGTGGCAGAGAGGACAACAATGTCAATGGTAATGATAACGATCATGTGTGATATTCACAAAGTGTGCCCTGTGCCCAGTGCCCTGTGCCAGGCACCCAGCAAATACTTCAAGGCTCTCCTTGCCTCTCCTGGGGGCTCCCGTCCCATCCCCTCCTCCCCACCCCACAGCTTCCTGCTCACAGACAGACATGGGGGATCTCTGGACAAAGTCAGAGCCCCTCGTCCAGAGGACCCTTCTATGAATCCTGGCTGCACCACATCCCAGATCTACGACCTTGGGCGATCCACTTAGCCCATCTGAGCCCCACTTCTTATCCCTGACCTTCGACTTGTAGGAAGCTTGTAAGGAGAGGAGGGCCAGGAAGTGCCTCATGGTACAGCAAGGAGTCCAGGGCTCTGCTCGCATAAGCCCAGCAACCTTAGGCAAGTGGCCTTGCCTCTCAGGAGCTTGGCTTCCACTCTGTGGGATGCTGCTAAGAATCCCCACATCACAAGGCTACAGAAATTCAAAGTGTGCACAGAGCACACTCAGCCCAGGAGCCGGCACAGAGAGCCCCAGGAGTGGCAGCGGACTTGGGGCCTCCCTTCCAGTGGTCTGACTCAGCAGGCCTCCGTGGAGTATGGAATCCATTTTGGCAAGGGTCTGAGCTGGTCCTGGGCCCCACTTAGGGAACCACTGTGATCCTTTTAACAGGAAAATCAGAGGCGTTCACTCCCTGCTGGAGACTTCCAATGGCCCTATAGCAACCAAGAGAAATCCTGTGTTTCTCACCACACCTTAGGAGGCCCTACATGACAGGGCCCTGCTAGCCTTTCTCGCCTCCTCTTTTTTTTTTTTTTTTTGGAGACAGAGTCTTGCTTGTCACCCAGGCTGGAGTGCAGTGGCGTGATCTAGGCTCACTGCAACCTCCACCTCCCAGATTCAAGTAATTTCCTAGTAGGACACGTTTCACCATATTGTCCAGGCGTCGAACTCCTGACCTCAGGAGATCTGCCCACCTCGGCCTCCCAAAATGTTGGGATTACAGGCATGGAGATACGTGCCTGGCCTCTGACCTCCTTCTGATCATCTTTTCCCTCCCCTCCCTCTGCTCAACCACTGGGCCTTCTACTAGTCTAGAACTTACCAAGCTTCTTCTTTCTGCTCAGGACCTGTGTTCTTGCTGTTGGCTGCCCGGAGCAGCCTTGCTCTGACCCTTTCCACGCTCACTTCTCCTTCCTCACAGTTGTCGGCTCAAAGGTCACCTCCCCAGAGAGACCCCACCTCTGCCCTTGCCACCCTCACCCTGCCTGGGTTTTTCTGATGCCCATCTGGCATGATAGGACATGTTTGTCTGGTTTTCTCACATAGAAGACAAGCTCCATGAGAGCAGATACTCTGTCCATGCATGGTTCATTCCTAGGCTCAGCGCAGAGTGCTCTCTCAACACATATTTGTTGTTGGAAAAAACAAATCGGTCATGGGCTAACCTTTGGGGGCCTCCTTCTAGGGCTTCTGCCTTTACCTAGAGCACAGGCATTTTCCTGCCTCTCTGGGAGCCTAACACTGGACCGTTCCTGCTTTCTCTGCCACAAGTGCTTGGCCTCACAGTCCACTCTAGGCTTGGGTTAATAACTGAAGAATCGACCATCATCACAACTCCCTTGTCCTGCTCTGATTTTCCATGGGGACCTTGGGCAGCCCTGGGCCTTTCTGAACTTGAGCTTCCTCATTCTGCGTAAGAAACATCAGCTCAGCCTCAGCCTCAGCCTCAGGAAGACCTCTGTTCCCTGTGATTTACTTATGGTGACAGAGAACCAACTATCTCCATTTACCCATTTGCCTGGTAAATCTGGCTGTGGTGAATATCTTGGTTTTGCTGGAAGTTTGTACTTTCATTGTCCTTGTCTAACCCTTCATTCATTCACTCATTCTTCATTTGAACAAACATAGACAAAATGTCTGCTGCAGTGTCAGGACTTGTGAATTGTACGCTGGAACCAATATGTGAAAGAGACACAGGGTGGTCCCTTGGGGAGGCTCGGGTCCTGTGGACAGACAGGCAGAGATCTGCGCGAGGGTGGTGTGTGTGCTGCATGGCCAGGCTGGGTGACAAACTGTCTCGGGTCCAGTGTTCTGTCCATGTTCGCATTCTCTAGGTGGGTTGCCATTGTGCCCCTGCTGTGAGGTGGTAGTTGGAACCTAGGCAGCAGCAGAGGCTTCCTCTGAGGCCCACACCATGGAGCTTTTGAGCAGAAAGGATGCCCTGGTCCTACGGCGCTTGGACAGACAGGAACACTGAGGCCGAAGACGTCATTCGTGTACTCGCTGACTCACTCACTGAATGAAATATTCAGCAGTCAGGGCAACAGGGACTGGCAGCCTGCGAGCCCTGCCTGGAGGAGCATGCCAGTGATTGCAGGGAAATGCGGGGAGCTGATTACAGCTCAGTGAGGAAAGGACGATGGCATTTAGAGGGCAAACCACAAAGGGTGAGATGAGGGGCCTATAGGAGGCCATGGAGGGTAGAAGTTCCTGGAAGGCTTCCTGGAGGAGGTGGCACCTGAACTGAAACTGGAAAGATGGGAGCAAGAGAGAGGCAGGAAAGGGATTTGGGGGTTTCAGCAGAGGCAAGAGCATGCTTGAGGCCGATGGAGGCAGGTGAGTCGCACCACTCCAGATTGTTTGCCTATATGCACAGCTCCTGTTGCACAGTGGCACGTGAGTGTGTGTGTGTGTGTATGTGTAGGTGTGTGTAGCATGATGATCTAACTTGTGGGCAAGTTCAACAAGTCAGCCTGGGGAACTGGGGATCTAGCCCCACCCCAGCCCCCACATCACCTGAAAGTGAATGCTTTCCGTGAGGCTTTTGGAGGGGCTGGGGAGATTCGGCAGGTTTAACGGGCCCTTGAAAAAACTGCGTCCTCAGGGAGGGTTGTGATGGGCTGGATTTCCTGGGGAATAACTCAGACTGAATAAGGCTGCCCTTGGCTCGAGTGTCCACCCTTGGCAAAACGCAACAGGGGAAACAATCTGCCCTCCATTAGGGTTATGTGGAAATCCGTGTGTGGAGAAGAACGTGGGCGGTGACCTGGAATTGGGACGGGTGTCCTGGAATTGGGGCGGGTGTCCTGGGTGCAGGTTCCACCACTTTTGTTGTGCCTGACACTCCCAGGCCTCAGTTTCTTCCCCCGCCCTCCTTACTGCTCAAGGTTGACAGGAAAGTTAAGCCTAGTGATATACATAGAGGTTCTAGCAAAAGGCTGAGCAAATTGGAGCGATGCTCCGCCCTCTCCTGGTCACATTCTTTTGCCCAACACACATGGACACTTAACTGTTGTGTCAGACACTGTGCTCATCACAAGAAAACAGAGACGCCCAAGTCAGAGTTCTTGCCTCCAAGGAGCTTGAGTTACGGTATTTTTAAATGTCATAATTGCTTTTTCATTCGGGCTCTAATACCTTTTAAGTTGTAATGGCTAGTTACAATGTAATGGTTGCTTCTTTGGGAAAGTCGATAGAACTTTCCCCTTTCATGCAATGTGAACGGAAAAGTTAATATGTACTCAACAGAAGGAGTGTTTGCAAAGCCTTAGCGAATCGAATCAAACACTTTATCTTTCCTGAGCTGGCTTGGAGGCAGGGATGGCACAAGAGGACCTGCAGATTGAGTGCAGATTCCCAGGAGATAACGGGTCTGAGCCAGAACTAATTTTCTTCCAGCTTTGCTTGTTATTCCTATATTTTTGCTCTGCTTATCCACTGTCTTGACATCAATAGCCACACGGTCACCTCTTGTTGACTTCCTAAAACCTTCAATTCTTGATGTTCACATCAGGGATGGCACCACAGGGATCTATTATGAGCTTCATTGTATTCATTCATTCACTAATTCATTCATTCATCATGGAATGCTTACTGCATCTGAGGATGACGCATTAAGTACTGGGGAATAAGGCAAATCCTGCCCTCAAGGATTTTTTTTAATGGCTTTATTGAGATATAATTTATATATTATACATTTCACCCACTCAAAGTGTGTCATTCAATATTTTTAGTATATTGACAGAATTATATAACCATAACCACAATCGAATTTATTTATTTATTTATTTATTTATTTATTTATATTTCAATACGTTTTGGTGGAACAGGTGGTATTTGGTTACATGAATAAGTTCTTTAGTGGTGATTTCTGGGATTTGGGTGCACCCATCATCCAAGCAGTGTACACTGTGCCCTATTCGTAATCTTTTACTCCTCACACCCCTCCCACCCTTTCCCCAGAGTCCCCAGAGTCCCCAGAGTCCACTGTATCATTCTTGTGTCTTTGCGTCCTCACAGCTTAGCTCCCACTTATAAGTGAGAGCATACAATGTTTGGGTTTCCATTCCTCAGTTACTTCACTTAGAACAATGGCCTCCAGCTCCCTCCGGTTGCTGTGAATGACATTATTTTGTTCCTTTCGTGATTGAGTAGTATTCCATGGTAGATACATACCACAGTTTCTTTATCCACTCCTTGACTGATGGGCATTTTGGCTGGTTCCATATTTTTGCAATTGCTAATTGTCCTGATATAAACGTGTGTGCAGGTATCTTTTCTTCTGGGTAGATACCCAAGAGTGGGATTTCTGGAGGATTTTTTTTTTGTTATGGAAAAATGCAAACCTATAATAGAGAGAATGGTATAATGCGCCCCTATATGCCCATCAGCAGCTTCAGTTATTTTCAGTGTAAGACCAATATCATTTTTTGACACCTTCCAATCTCTTTCTCCCTGTGGAATATTTCAAAGCAAATCCTATAAAATATTTCATTTTATGTACAAAAATTGGGAAAAAAATCTTAATTGTAATAGCATGTCACACTTTTAAAAACAATAATTTCTTAATGTTATCAAGCCATTGTTTCCCTGATTCCTAATCATTTTTTCTTTGAATGTCAAGTGTCTTCTGTACTTTCTTTTATTAACATCACAGTCTTTGCATCAAGATATATAGCAATGATAGCAGATTTCTTTTTAAAGCTTAGTATTAAATAGTAAATATCTTTCCCCATTTAAATTTTACATTACTCTGACAAGAAAAAACAAATTAAAACTCAAGTTACTTCAAGCCTGGACACACTTCCATGATTAGCCGGGCTGCATAAGAGTTGGAGGCTTCATTCTTTCTGCTATGTAAGCAGATTCAGGCCCTAGAAAGATGGGACCAGGTTATACAATTGTTTTGAAAAGTGTGCTACAAAAATGGATGGCCTGTTATAAGCCAGGATACAAAGTAAGGATGGGGGTAACGGAGGTACATTTTCTTCAAGAAAAAAAGCAAATTTCTCAGTGGGACTGAAAGAACTGTAACACAAACAGAGCTGAAACACGGCCCACTGCTCACCACATTGTGTGCAACAAGAAGGAGAGAAGAACTGATCTGTTTTGGGGAGCCCAGACCTAGGGGCTCCCCAAGCCAGGGCTGTGACACCCTCTTTGGGGCTCTTTGGCTCCTCGTGTCTCCAAGCTTTTGGGTGCCACCAGGTTCCCCTTGTTCAGATGTGGGTGCCTCATAACGGAAGCCACATGTGGTACATCTGGTCCAGCCACAGCCTTGCATGGAGCCAGCACCTGTACCAGTGCTTAGAGCGGCCCACCCCGCCACAGCAGCCAGTATGCCTGGCTGTGTGCAATGGCCAGACCCTGCGCTCACTCACTCACACACCCATTGCTGCTCTGCGCCTGGCTCGCCAAGGGTGTGTTGGGCTTGCAGGGGAAGTGTCAGTACCCACACCTCCTACTCTTCTTCCCTGGGCACTGGGCATGTTTGCTCTTCTTCAGCTTTGGTTGGGTTGGCGATTACCCATTTGCCCTTCTCTTGTAGCAGGGGTCACAGTTCAGAGTTCAACCAGTTCCATCGTGTCAGTTTCCTTGTTACTGGCAGGAGCCCCATTCCTGTGCCACCACAGACCCTTTGTGAGAAGACATCTGGCTGGTACCTCAATACCCTGCAACTTCGTCTTGGGGAAAGGTTGGGGTTTCTCAGCCCCAAGGGGCAGAGATCTCCCTGTGATGGTGGAAAAACTGGGCCGGTGGGCATGAACCAGATCATGGTGCCCCACGCTACATCCCATGGCACTGCAAGTGGCCTGCGGCAGAGAGACCCTGATCCTCAGTGCCCTCCCCATGCCAGAAGAGGTGTGTGACTGTGACCCTAATTTTTTTTTTAT